GGCATGGTTAAATGATGAAAGCTCACTTTCTCTAACTAATAGCTCTTTAAGGATTCAATGGGGTATTGGGATTAATACTATTATGATAATCCACTTTGTACAACTGGCTGAATATAGTAAATTCTTCCCACCACCTGCCACATCTCTCATCTGTATATCTTCATGTTCAAAAATATTAAAAAATGGATGTAATTAATCAACATTAACTGCATGGCTACGGCAGCACTGGTTACAATCTATATTTAAATGCACGTGGTTGCGCATCAACAAATAAAAAAGATGTACGGCCAGCAATAGAACATGGGCCTAGGCCTAGTTCTCGTAATGGGTTCAGAGCTCTCCTAACTATGCAACTTTACTTCTAATTCATGCATATTGAACAGTTAATAAAGCTTGGCATAATTATGTTATATTAGTGATAATGAGTAGTGATTGCTCCTCATCGGAATTCTGCTGATTTGGCATGCAGGAACTTTGTGATAACATTCTTTCAAGTACTTGGGCCTTAGGATAAGTGTAGTTACAAATTCTTCTCTTGGTCTTATTCAATGTGATCATTCATCATCAGCTAATAGAATCTACGAAATAAACAGAAACAGAAACACCTTTAGGATGCTGCAATTGATGTGAAATTTGACACTCATCTCCTGTTTTTCCGTCTGCAGGAACGGTGTGCAGCAGAGGAGGAACTCATGGCAGGATGGAGTCTTTGGCACGAACTGTCCAATTCGACCAGGGAAAAACTTCACTTATGTTCTCCAAGTGAAAGATCAAATTGGTAGCTTTTTCTACTTTCCATCACTTTTATTCCATAAGGCTGCTGGAGGATATGGTGGCATCAGAATTTGGAGCCGCCCTAAGATTCCTGTACCTTTTCCCACTCCCGCTGGGGATTTCACTGTGCTGGCTGGGGACTGGTATAAGAGAAATCACTATGTAAGCATTCTGTATCTTTTATGATATCAAATATGTAAGGGAGTGGAGCCTTAATCATTCTTTCACCCCCATCTTTTTCTTATTTTCTCCGCTAAATATCGACTAATCCTCTTTGTTTCTTAAGGTATTGAGGCGTCTCTTGGACAGTGGTCGTAACCTTCCCTCCCCTGATGGACTTCTCATTAATGGTAGAGGGTGGAATGGATACACATTCACTGTTGATCCAGGTGAATGATAACAAACTTCCAAGTTTTCCTCCAATCTGTTGGTTGTTGTTCCTTAAATCTCATCAATTGGTTCACAAATAATCTTTTATTGAGTTTTCGATCGGTGGAATATGTGAAGGCCATTCTCTCTTAGAATCTTACCCTTATATGCATGTTTTTCTTATTTGTACTCAGGTAGGACATATAGGTTCAGGGTATCAAATGTTGGCCTTACAACTTCAATTAACTTCAGGATCCAGGGTCACAATCTGAAACTCATAGAAGTAGAAGGATCTCATACACTCCAGACCACCTATAGTTCTTTTGATATCCATCTTGGGCAGTCATGTTCTTTCTTGGTCACAGCTGATCAGGTGTCGAAGGATTACTATGTTGTTGTCTCTTCACGCTTCACTCCTCGTGTGCTCACAACAACTGCCGTTCTTCACTATAGCAATTCAAAACAGGGAGTTTCTGGTCCAGTTCCTGGGGCTCCCACAACTCAAATTGCTCCATCACTCATCCAGGCGAGATCCATACGGTACTTTATCTTATTATCTTTTCAGAAGCTAGCAAGCTAAGTGCCATTAAAAAGTGGCTACCTAGCTGATAGTTTTTCTTCTACCAGTTGGAACCTGACAGCTAGCGGACCTAGACCTAATCCCCAAGGCTCATACCACTATGGACTGATCACTCCAAGCCGCACTATCATGCTTGCAAACTCTGCGCCTTGGATTAATGGAAAGCAGAGGTATGCTGTCAATGGCGTCTCATATGTTCCAGCAGATACCCCATTAAAACTAGCAGATTACTTCAAGATTCCCGGAGTCTTCAATCTCGGAAGCATTCCTTCCTGGCCCCCTTCAGGAAACAATGCCTACTTTCAGACCTCAGTCATGGCAGCCAATTTCCGGGAATATGTTGAGATTGTATTCCAAAACTGGGAGGACACTGTGCAGTCATGGCATATTGATGGTTATTCCTTCTTTGTCGTGGGGTAAGGCTTTTCATGCCTATGCTCTATATTCAATTCTTTTATCTATGGCTAAATGTGTTGCTAAAAAATGTTGGATGATCAGGATGGATGGAGGCCAATGGACGCCTGGAAGTAGAGCAAACTACAATTTGAGAGACACAGTGGCTCGCTGTACTACTCAGGTATATGCAATACAGATCGTTGACCTCCCATCAATGTGCTTAGAATGTGATCAACTCTAGGAATCGTAGGTGCACCAACTCTCAATGTCACAATTTGTTGACCTATCTGAGTGAATGCAGGTTTACCCCAGGTCATGGACCGCGATCTACATGGCTCTGGACAACGTAGGAATGTGGAATATAAGGTCTGAAAACTGGGCCAGTCAATACTTGGGGCAGCAGTTCTATCTCAGGGTTTTCTCCCCTGCAAATTCCTGGAGAGATGAGTTACCAATCCCAAAGAATGCTCTTCTCTGTGGCAGGGCCAGAGGTCGCCACACAAGGCCTCTCTGAATTTAGCTAACCGAGAAAATAATTATGTCACGAAGGGGTGACATGGTGCAAGCTTGGGATATGATGAACAAAATTAGGTTGTTAAATTGCGGGAAAAGTATTGTGAGAGCTCAACTTGAGCTTTTGAGCCAATTCTTCTGTCATTTGCCTTGTGTTCATGGAACTTTTCTTGTTTCTGTGATGACAGGATGGGCATTAAATTAATATATTATATGAACTCCCATGTTACGCGAAAACCCAGAAAACGTCAGGAGTGTTGGATTATAAATAACTCTTGGAAAAAAACCCACAAAATTAATCTGTCAAGTAGTAGTTGTTCGAGTTACAATCAATATGCATCACCTACCAGCTTTTGGGTGAGGCTGATTGGAGGGCATGGACACGGGCACGCACAGGACAAACATCGATGAAAGATAAAGTCATATTTGTTGGAGTCTTGAGTTTATAAGAGTCAATGTTGCATATGTAATTAAATTAACTTTTTGAAAAGAATAATAGTTTTGTGATAAAATGATATTAGAGTAAATTTATATTTAATTTTAATTTCGTTATCATATCAAATGCTTCAATAAATGGAGTAGATAAGGTAACTCGACTTGTGATAAGAAAGAATATTTTTTAATCACATTTTAAATAAATAAAAAAAATTTAAGTTTATAAATTTAGATATTATATACTCTTTAAGAAAAAGTAATAACAATGATTTCATTAAAATTTTAAAAATAAAATTTTGAACATACAAATACAATATATATTTTTGAAAACAATACTTTAACAATGCCTTTAAACTACAATCATCAACATCTTCCTTCGGGGATAATCCTGAGGAAACTTATAGAAGATTAATGAAATTAATGATTACAACAACAGTTTAATTACGACGAAGAAACAATTCTGCTTTAGAATTCTAGCTGAAGCTGGAAGGAATTGCTAAAGCTGAGACCTCGAGCTCTTCTTTTCAATCAAGCAGCAAGAAGTTTGGGGAACATCTAGTTCTACCTACAAGGCTGCAGCTCATGTTTGGAATGGAACCAGACACAAGCAGGGAAAGGTGGAATGGCATAGACTCATTTGTGTAATTCCTGGGGTTTTGAGGGACTTAATGTTTGCATGGTTTGGTCGTTTTAATTCCTTTATTGCTGCTGTTTTACAAGCCTTTGTTTTTTTCTCTGTAACAGCTTTGCTGCTTCTTTGGATATATACTGAAAGTAGCTTTCCTTATCCCAAAGAACAGAAAACAAAAAGAATGAAATTTCTGCCTAAAAATGGAGTCTCCTTAATTCAGACAAGGTTACTTTCCGTAATTCCCATCCTACCATTTATTCAGGCTTACGATTTCACGACACACTTGTCCATGCTTCTGGCAATTCCATCCAGAGGAATATTCCCTCTCCCATCTTGAAACGGTCTTCCTTTAATCTGCAATTCTCCAACCCCCTGTCAGCAAGCGCCACCATCCCACAGGCAAAGCTTGTTTCACTCCATTTTGGCATCAAATTGCTCACCACCAATGGTGACGTTCTTGGCATCAACGTGGCAGTCCAAGAGAAACAAGCAACATGCGAAGAATGCTTACTTGGCGACAGCGCCCCCTTCTTCTCGCCTTATTGCTCGATGTTGAGTGTCTTTTGATTTGGTGTTTTTGCTCCAGGGAAGAAAAAAGAAAAAAGGGTTATGGCCGGAATAAAGGGCACTGTATACTGTTTTGTGGTTCGGGGGAAGGTTTGAACATTTTTCTTGTAGGAAGTGCAAATGCTTAGCTCATTTAGCAATTTTCTGCCTCTGGCTCCATGTTTCACTGTAGGCCCATTCTTAACGTTTAGGTCTTTGATCTTTTGTTTTGTAGTGAGCCCTTTTCTCTTTATTTCTTTTATTCATAACGTTTACCTTTGGTAATTTCTTCAGAATTAAAGATTGATTAATTACTTCTAAGATTCATATAGACTTCCTATGATGATGAACTTGAGCAGATGACTGCTAAACTTGACAGATAAAATGAAGACAGCAGTTGCATTTATATTCTTCAACTGACAAAGAAAAAAAAAGGAGCATGAATGTCAGGAAATGCATGGCACTGCCCAAAGAATGTCATGAAACCATGATATCATCAGGAAATTTTGGTAGAGGCGTTTTTACCTTTTATCCTTTCGTTTTGATCAGTTTTCACCCAATCACTTCTTTTTCTTTGAAGAAATCTGAGTGAAATTCCGTGTCCAATTTTTCCTTTTTCTAATCGAACCTCCAATAGACTAAACTGACCTTAAAGAGGAGCAAGAAAAAATGGTCAGCAACAAGACAAAATATATGCTACAGATAGTCTCACTAGTATTTATTATTCTCTTTTGTTTCACTGAAGACCACCTCTTCTCTCTCTCCCCCTTTTGTTCTCTAGTCCTGGCAATGAAGAGGGTTGATGGTGATAGTGCCCTGAAGGGGTCTCCATCTTCTTCTCTTGACAGTGGAAGTGTTTACTACTCGCAGTCATCGACTATGAGAGCTACCAGGCGACGCATGGATGACAATCTGGTGCCTGAAATAAGCTTGAAATCGCCTACTGCTGTCGTAAGGCCTTATGCCAGATCAAAAATGCCTCGGCTGAGATGGACTCCTGATCTTCACCACTGCTTTGTACATGCAGTTGAACACCTGGGAGGAGAAGACAGTAAGCCATCTTCCATGAACCTTCATTAACCCCCTATCCTTTTTCATTTTGATAAAGCTAACACCTATATTTTCATTCATTACTCTTTGTTTAATTAGATCGATAATTCGAGAAAAATTGTTGGTGATGTTACCTTCGTGCATACCGTTAGAGAAACTAATGCATTTGCAGAATCTCTTATTAAATTTGAAGTTTTCTTTTTCAAGAGTCAAGTTATTGTATATGTTCGGGGCATATGCAGTGGCCTGCTGAATTAATATTATGGTTTTGTGAATTATAGGAGCTACACCAAAGATGGTACTACAGATAATGGATGTGAAGGGCCTGACCATCTCCCACGTGAAGAGCCATCTTCAGGTTTGATCAAAACGACTGGAACAACATTACATTCATTGGAAAGAGATTCTTGGTTTTAGGAATTGGATTTTTCCATGGTCAACTTTTTGATTTCTGGTTTGTGTTTGCCATATATGGACAGATGTACAGGAGCATGAAGCATGAGCAGATGATACCAGGTAATACATGAGCATCTGTTGTTAATGCATGCTCAATTTTATGTGGGGAAAGTGAGATGGTAAATTAATTACAGCCCACTCTGATCCCATCGATTGATCATCAAAGGCACGCTTCACCATCTTTCCAGTTAGCAGTTCATGGCCATATTAGAAAAAGGAAAGAGCAAATTTACTGCCTTCAGTTGTTGATCAACATGCCTAAAATAGATGAAGTATTTTTGTTAATGGCTTTTTGAGGATAAAAATCATTAAATAATTACATATAATAATATAATTAATCAAATTACATATCATGTCATGATTATATTTTTTATTCTTATAATTAAAAAAAAAAGATTCAAATCTTACTCTTTTGATAGGAAAATCACACATTAATCAATAAATCAAATACTCGAATATATGTCGAGATTATACTTATTAGTGATTATCGAATATTTATTAAAAATTGATATTCAAACTTAATACTCTTTTTGTCCCTTATATAAATTTCTTTTCTTGAATATTATTCTTAATTTGAAAAAAAGAAGAAGAAAATGAATAGTTATTAACTAGGATAATAAAGAAAAGTAAGAACAAATGTTTTTTTCAAAACATAATAATATTTATAAGAGGGAAGGAGTATTATATCATGTTTACAATTTGTAAGAGGGAAGGAGTATTATATGTCACTTTTCTTCTATGTATTTAAATTAAATCTTTTAACCATTTGTGGATATCTCAATTTATACAATTCGGGATGTCGTATGTTTGGTTTTGTATCATAGAAGCAGCAATGGCAGCAAGGAGAAATAATCAGAATGTATCAAACCCGATGAACTGCCAACAAATCAGTCTTCAGCTTAAGGATGGGGGTATTTCCATTAATCGTAATTCGTTCCAAAATCCAGGCTTCCGAACCCAAGAGATGGCTTCAAATTCCATCCTTCCTGCACAACGGTATCCGGTGTAAGTTACAATATACCCTGAAGCTTATTTTCGTGTAGTGCGCCTGCTTTAGCGAGTCCATCTGTTAAGGAATTCGTCTCTCTGGAAATGTGTTCAAGTAAAATGAAAATGTCGGAGATTGCAATCTTATTTAGCCCTGGGGTATCAATAGGATTTTGCATTGAGGCTTGTCCATCTGCAGGAATGGAAACAAAGTCAGTGACCAGTTACCAGACGCAGAAGTAGCAGACAAGGTATCTGAGCAGCAGAGATCAGATTCATATATCATCTTCAAGGATCTACTCAAAAGTTGCATGACCCCAGTAATTAATCTCTCTCTTTCTTTCTGTCAACGCACCAGCAGATTTCTTCACAACACAGATTGCTCTACTGTTCCTTTCCTTTTTGATCTTTACAGGAGAGGAACGAGCAAGAAAAAGTAGTGGGACAACATGGTGATGCAGGTGCAGCAGGTTGGAAGTGCAGCAGCCATCGAAGATTGGTTGACTTACCTGATCACCAGGCAGCTAATCAGAGAATATCTGATGGTTCAACGTATCTATCGGCAAACTCAAAAGTTTCCCAGCCAATGTTAAGGCTGAGCAAAGCTAAGAACCTAGAGGTGAATGACGTTTCTCTGGAGCTAACTCTTGCTTAAGAGTATGCACATAATGATGTCTCTCTCTCTCTCTCTCTCTCTCCCTCGTATGGAATATGAAAAAGTTCCTTTTACAGTGTTCTGTTAATTTGTTTGGGTAGATTTTCTGAAGTCTACATATGCTCACCATTCCACGAGACAACCCCTAACACAGCTACCTCCAATTATTACGAACGGTGACCAAAGGGTCATTGGCATAGGGTGATTTAGCAGGCTTGATTCTCGTGTACAAGTTGCCCTGTGGCTCGAATTCGACCACTTTTTCTTTTTTGGCCTGGGGACGAGGAAGGGGTGGGGGGCAGTACTTAAACAGTACCCTTTTTTTTTTTTAATTTGCCTGTAATTTCAAGATATGGGTTAGGTTGAGGATTCAAATTTCAGGTCACTGATTCAACATAAAATTTAACAGACAATTATTCACAATCAACTCAAAGAAAGGGCATAGTTACATCTCATCTTCAGTTGTTCTCTGCACATGTAACCTTAAATGAAGGGCATGTTTGGCCTTATTCAAGCTCTAATTACAATTATTTCCCCTCCTATATCAAGAAAAAAATATAAAAAATCAATATATGATAATTATCTTTTTAAAAAATTAATCATAAAGACATATCTCGACTCTTAAAAATCAATTGAAACAAAATTCTCTACTTTCAATTTATATTGTTATCACATGTTAAAACATTTCTAATCCATCAATATCAACTTTCATTAGAAAACCATGGAAGACATTAATTTCTCTACATATATGAACAAAATAATACTACCAATAATTTCTTTCGAGCTGTCAAATCGACTATTGCTACGTACCCTGATGATGCAAAGAGTCGGCAATCCGATTGACTGAGCACCAGCTGCTTTTGGTTTCTTTAATTTCGTAACATGCA